CATTGTGGGGTTTTATCACCTACAAGATGCAACACAAAATCATGCTGTCGAATGTTGGAAGTGTCGTCCTTGTCGCCATGTTTATGACCAATTGCAACTGTTGCTACTACGGTGGGAATCAAATATCGTCCTACTTTGATATACAACCACCAACGCTAAAAGAGTATCTAACATCGGAGTAATTACAAAGTGTTAATTGTGTACTGTTGTGTATAAAACTTACTTTCTACCATCAATTACAGATTTCAACAGGTTAGACACTTTTTCACTCTCAATGCGTGCTAGTGCCAATTGGTGTTCACGTTCAGCCTTTCTTTCATCACGATCCAACTCACGTTGTTTGAAATCAGATTCGTACTTGAACCGATCGAATTCCAGTTGCTTCTCGCGACTTGTCAATTCGCGCTCGCTGTCAGCCTCAATCGCAGCCGCCAAACTGTTGCGACGATTTTCGACCGCAGGTTTCTTTTTCACTTCGTCGTTGTCGACGTCGCTGCGACGTTTCATCGTTTGCATGGCCATCTCTCGTACCAACATACCGCCTTGTTCGACCTTGTCTTTGTCGTCTTCCATTTTTACACGCTTGCTTGCTGCAGTGCTCTTGACTTCGTCCAGCAACGGCAGCAAGTCGTCGAGCAGGGTATGCTTCTCCAACTCCTCTTGGTCGACCCCTGAGAGTTTTGCAGATGCCATGTCAAATTTGCGGTGCTCGTCTACCAGCGCCGTAAACCTATTTTGCACCTTGCGACCGTCGATGACACGATCGAAGTGATCGCAGGCAACCAACTTGTCCGCCAAGGATTACCAGGACTTCGTAACTTGACCCTTGTAAGCTGCAAAGGGTAGGTCGGCGGCGACTTGGATGAGCAGCACTACGTCTTCTTCGGGCGTCCAGTTGCGGCGTTTGTCGGTGTTGGCCATGTCAATTCGGTTGGTGTCTGGGAATGGGATGGGTGCCCATACAAATGGCACATTCTCTGGGAAGAATAACTAGGTTTGGCAGGTTTCCCATATAATAATTATGTTTTAGAGGTTTAAGATCTGGGAATGGGAATGGGACGTTTGCGAAACCTCTCTAATGTATCACAAGATCACAAGATCACAGTAGTAGACAACGAAAGCGACCCCACAATCGAACACCTCAACCGTTTAGGTGTACGGTGGCAGTACGCTTACACACGGACGGTGAGAGGTGCGCCAAGCAGATACTGCTACGATAGCAGTGCCATCATTGAGGTGGACGCTCGTTTCAATGGCGTGTACAATCATGGCCCTCACCTATGTTTCGCAGCACATGACCATCGGTACAAAGTTGTTTAACTGTAAGCATACTTCAAAGAACTGCTAGTATTGATATTGGATTTTGTTATAAAGGATTTTATATGTAGAATAAATAAAGAGACTTTCGAGTCGTTCGATTTTGCCCAGAATTCGAGGTCTCTTTATTTTACGGTGGAGATGAGAAATTGGATATTCTGGTTATTTCTGGCTTGTCCCAAAAATACTGTACCCAGGGTGCGATTCGTTTATACTACCTCGAGCCGGAAATAGACCAGCCACAAGGGGAAAACTTGTGTAATTTCATGAATATTTTGAATTCGGCAGATCTGAAAGTACGTGCTTACAGTTAACAGTATTAATAACTGTAAAGTTCGCAATCCGGCGAATCTGATTGGCTTGTCGAGACAAAAATAAAACGTGATTTCGCACGTAGGTACAGGAGGAAGTATTCGATACGAAACTCAAGTCAAACCCCAAGAGTGATGTATGTTACACATTTGACTCTGCATATTGTGAATAGGGGGAATAGCTCAGGTGGTAGAGCATCGGTTTCTTAACTCAAAGGTCGTGCGTGGGTTTGATCCCCGGCTTCCCCAGATTATTTCTGCAAGGATTTATCCGTCCCTATCCGGATAACAAGGGCCGCGTAGGAAGACGAGGACCGAACTTCGAAGAAGATCGGTCGAAGCACAAGGTATGAAGCGTACCGGTAAAGACCGAAGATTACACACCGCGCAGGCGCGTTACAATTGGCGAAGCAGTTCCACAACATGTAGTTCTAGTGTTTGAGGTTGTGAAAATGGTGAGAATTGTAGCATTCAAAAATGCATATAATCTTTGGATTAATACAATAATTCGAGCAATGGTGTCAAGTTGCTGAACATCAGGATGTTGGCGAAGGGTGGTTGAAACATGTTGTGAACTTAGGTTTGTATGATTACAGTAAAATTGTACCCCCTGATGTATCTGTTACTAACGTGACACGGTGCAATGAAACTTGATTTTTGTATGTGGCATTAAGACCAGCTGCTGCGTTGTTAAAATTTTGAGCTTGAGTGTAGGTCGAAATTGAAGAATTGAAGTTGTTTGAGCTCCACTATGCAAAGAGAGTATTTCTAGTAAACTTTATGTATTAGTTTATTGTATACAGTTTGACAATGTTATGTACTGGAATTTATTCAATTTTGCGGGTCTCTCTTGTGGCGGGTTTATTTCCGTCCTTCACAATTTTGTTATGGCTGGTTTATTTCCGGCTAGATAGTAAATGGCAGAATAACAACCACTTAAAATAGTCGCACCCACCTTGAATTGGTTGCTGAAGTTTCAGCCAATTAAATGGATGTAGTCTGCCGTATACAGCGTTTGACTGGTAGCTATCCACCATGAAACAGCTGGCTATTCTTTGATTAGCTGAATATATTTGTTTCATGACTCTCATTGCCCACACCAAATACTACGTACCTGGTACTCCAGTACAGTATACTAAATCACAGGCATCTGAGACAAATGTACATTATGGACAGAGTGAGTATGTTTCACTCTATAGACATTTCATACATATGCTAGTATAAATTCGGCTCTATTTGCGCATTTTACCAACGTTATAGAGCATCTCCATCACATCCCAATTCACCATCCCTAAACATCAATACTACAGCTGTACTACTGTAGTACCTCGTAGTTACGGATACTACGCAGTATTTGGGGATTTATCCGGGTGATTTTGTCTCCATTTGCCTCATTTATCCCAAAAAGTGCAATTTATTGGGATATGGGGATATAATCACCCGGATAATCCCGAAAATATCCGTACTGCAACCAAAAGTAACGGTACAATCGAAGTTCGGGGGAAAATATTTGGGGATGCGGTGGATGCCCTTAGCATTTTCTGTAAAAAACGTGAGTGTCTCAGGCGGCAAGACCAAGTCGACGACGGCGGCGGCGGCGGCAGCATTATTAAAGTACCATGATCGAAGGAATCCACCCGGTGTTCCAAGCCATTCTCGGCACATTTGTCACATGGGGTCTCACGGCGGTGGTAAGACATGTCACCTGTCCATGCATCGTCATCTCTCATGGGACTCGTTCCAGGGATCGGCCATGGTGTTTGTGCTGGACGTCGAGAACCGCGCGCTGTCCCAACAGATCTTGGACACCATGCTGGTACATACCTCTCTTTCTTTCTCTGCACGCATGTGTCCTCAACTCGTCCGTCCATGAATGATGACAGGGATTTGCGGCGGGGGTGATGCTTGCGGCATCATACTGGTCGCTCTTAGCCCCTGCGATCGAAATCGCCGAACAGTCGCCGCTGTACGGTCCGGAAGGTCGTTGGGCGTTCGTTCCCGCCGCTATCGGGTTCGGACTCGGTGCATTCTCCATGTTGTTCACGGAACAGTTGCTTCCATTCCTCGGCCTCGGTTCGAAGCCGGAGAACTGGGAAAAGAAGGACGACGACTATAACGGGAACGACGTTCACAAGAAGGCGGGCGAGGCCAGTACAAGGAGCACCAGTACTGTCCGGCGGCGCAAACCCAGCGACCACAGCATTCAACCCCGTCCGTCCTTCATATGATCTCTTCTCCCATATGGTCGGTCACCCGTGTGTCCCTTAGACGACGTCGAATCATCCGCCGCCATTCACGACGACGCCATCACGAGCTTTGTGTCGGCCAAAGACATGAGCTATCGCCGCGTGATTCTCTTGGTGATAGCCATCACGATGCACAACTTCCCCGAAGGGATGGCGGTCGGCGTCGGCTTTGGCAGCATCGGACACGCCCCCGGCGCCACGTTTTCGAATGCAGTGAACTTGGCCATTGGCATCGGTAGGGAACTGTTGTAACCTAATGTTGCCTGCATTTGTAATGTACTCCACACTGGTCGTTAGGTCTGCAAAACTTTCCCGAAGGGTTGGCCGTGTCCATGCCGCTGCGCCGCGAAGGCATGTCGCCGTTCAAAGCGTTCATGTGGGGCCAACTCAGTGGGGCCGTCGAACCCATAGGCGGGGTACGTACGATATATGTTATTGTATCTAGGCATGAGAACGGTTATGATGCTTGATGGCTTTATGCATGAGAAACACGACGGAAGAAGTCTGGTACTAGTATTATATATCGGGAACGATGCTGATATTACGCGTGAGAACGATTATGTTATTATGGATGATGTATCGATGCACGGGAACGGTTATGTTACTACGCGAACAATGAGATCGGTTATGTTATTTTTGTTGAATGTTGCAACGAGGCATGAGAACGGTTATGTTATCATAAACTGACGGTTATGTTGCCAAGGCTATTTATTATTGTCAGGTAACGAACGCATCGAATTCGCAAACACTTTTTGCGTTGTGTCATACCTAATATTTTTGACGCAACATATCGCTGGAAATCCTTGGAGTATCGGAAATCTAAAGGCATAGGATAATTCGAGCACTATTTTATAGATCCTCTTTAATTCTACAAAACAACTGAATATGTTGCTTGACATAGGATTCTAACGAGCAGTCGGAAACGAAGTTTGGGATTTTCTATTTCTAGGACAGTGATTTTATCTTGATTTTTGTATTGTGGAATAAAAATGTGCACGATTTATGTTTATTTTATTGCAGTGATTGATTCTGTTGGAGAATTCCAAGCGTTACCTGTCTTCGTATGTATTAATGTATGAGAACGGTTTTGTTACGAGAACGGTTATGTTACGAGAACGGTTATGTTAGTTACCCTTTGATTGTCGTATCGATGCATGAGAACGGGTCCGTAACCATGGACGTGTGTACTAGTTGATTGGGGCCGCGGCGGTGCTGTACGTGCAGCCCATCTTGCCGTATGCGCTGTCGTTTGCTGCGGGGGCGATGATCTTTGTCGTGGTCGACGATCTCATTCCCGAAGCCCATCAAAGCGGCAATTCCAAGCTCGCGACCATCGGCACCATCCTGGGGTTCATTGTCATGATGGCCATGGATGTCGCGTTGGGTTAAAAGAGATAATATCAACTTGTGCAGAGGAATAGTAGTGTACAGTATACGATGACGGTCGATACTTCATGCAGGACATCCGGCCACGACGCCTACCGCCGACCACCGACGGCATAGATACTCCATCTTGCCATGGGTCAGGTTCTCGGCATCAACTGATGAAGTCAACGACATGGTCCTGCTGAACGCTTGACAAGATGACAACAACGACAACACAAACTCTACCTATATACTTAGCATCATTCCATGTTAACTCTGTACGTTGGGTCCAATCTCTGCTCCAGAATCTCGACAGTGGCAAATTCAGGTAAGCACCTAAAAGTCCTTGTTCTGTAGTACCACTGTATTTACCAAAGGATCAAGGATTTAATTTATGGTAGTTACACTTGAAAGAGACCTCGCAGCTGTATTACTCGTCTCTTGGGACCGGGATTTCAATTCCAAAAAGTACTGCACGAAGCCGAAAGGTTGGGCATTCTTCTAACTATTCAATCGGCTTGAATAGACTTCAGCTAAACGCTCATTTACTTCGATTTCCACTCATGTCAAGGCAAAATAGGAGGGACGGTTTACAGTTTAAGCTTAAAATATGTAAGCGGGGTTTGCTTATGTTTTGGTGATTTCAGCTGCTTTTTTCTACTGATTATTCGATTGGCTATTCCAAAACTTCAGCTATTCCATTGGCCAATTTGAGTGCACGTTAAACTGGCCATCTACGTTACCACTCTTTTTCGTCACAGCCCCCCAAACAAAGCATCGCACGTGGTCACTTTGGACGAAGTCCCGGGGGAGAGGGCCAGGAGCTTGAAAAGTTATGTGTTGGAGTGTTGGAGGAGATTTGCACTTACTAAGCTGTGACAAAGTATGTAAATTACCTTAAATAATACACCGGATCTGCATATCGAGGACCTTCAGATGTCCCTCCGCACGTTTGGTCCAATCTCTGCTCCCTGAAGATCTCGATTGTAACAAATTCTGTCGCACGACAAAGTTTCAACCAATCAAATGCTGTAATCTCAAATAGCTCTTTTTGATTCGTGAATATAGGAATAAAACGTTCTTTTTATCCAATCCAGGAAACGTTCTACGCTGTAACGCGTTACTGCCTGCATTTCGTAACTAAAACTCACCTCCGTCCTGGTGGGTCTCGTACTGTACATCGTACAGTACATACATTCGGTATTTGAATTACAAATACCAAATAAAATCATGTACGTACGATCGTACGTTCAGTACGTACGAGATAGACGGCGACGGTAGAAGCACGGTATATCATAATATAAAGTATCCCCTTCAATTCGGCTTTCCAATCGATACAAACGCCTAGTAATAAATTTATCACATGCAATTTAATATACTTTGGCGTTTGATGGATAGGGATGTCCAAGTTGAGGCGAATATTTGGAGTCAGTTGCTTTGACCTCATCATACAAGGATGGTCTCATTCTGCGATTGAACAACCTGGCAAGAAGGTGCATCAACATGAAGGGATTCCTTGCCATGTATGTAGTGGCGGCGACTGTCCTCATGGCATCCGCGGCTACCCCTAAAACCACAGCCCCCGCACGCGACAAGGACGCGGGCAAGTGCGAAACAGACGAAGACTGTACCACGTATCCTGGAACTGTGTGCGTGCAATTCTCGTCGGGTGACTTCGTTGCTGGCAAATGCACACCCAACTACGGCCAGAAGCCCGTGTGCCGGGGCGGTCAATCTGGGCTGTGCCCGCAGTACCAGGACCCGACACAGGGGTATTTAAACACCCAGTGCGTCCTGGTCGACCGGTCGCAGCAGCCTGCTACTGGAGATGCGCTGGTTCCAGTCGACGTAAAGACTCCAGCTCCCACCGAGATCGGCGGCGATGATACCGTGCCTGCTGTGCCTGGTTCTGTTAAGCCCGCAACGACGGGCGGTGCTGCTGACTTGGTGACTCCTACAACGACCAAGAAATCCGCTCCTACTACCACCGCCGCTGCCCCCCAGCCGCCAAAAGTGCCTGGCTCGCGTCGTCTTCAAGTGGCCACTCCAACCACCACAGGCAAAACCACAGCTGCTGGTGCCGCCACGACTCCCGCCCCCACCACGGCCAAAGTGCCGGCGGCGACTGCCGAACCCACTGCTGCCCCGGTGGACCCTGTTCCCGTGACGGACGCAGACGCGACCGCCGGGCCGACGACCGCGGACGACATCACGCCCATCAAACCCCAGGCGTGCCCGTCCAACTCGGCGTTGTCGTTGGACAACCCTGACTGCTGGTTCAACACTGTGTACAAGAACCGTACGATCCAGGCACAGTATCGATGCGTAGACTACTCGATGTGCTACGAACAGTCAGCGGCGTCTCAGGAACCCCAGAAGGACAAGGAGGAGTACTGCCGCCCCAAGGGATGTGTGAGCGGCGACCGCCAAATGTGCAACAACCGCGGGACCTGCCAGAGCAACGACCGCGTCCAGCCCATGATGTCCCAGGGGTACTCGTGCCGGTGCTACGCTGGGTTTACGGGCCGCCAGTGCGAAAAGACGACGGGCAACACGTGCGACGTGGACTGCGGCGTTGGCGGCGCCTGCATCGACCGCAAATGCTCGTGCTACGACGCATACCAGGGCAAGGACGCACGCTGTGCCAAGTGCACGAAAGACGCTGCCTGCGAGAACGGCAACAAGTGCAACGTCGAGACGGGCAAGTGCGATTGCCTCGAAGGATTCATCGGGCTCACGTGCGGCGGAAAGCTCAACAACTGCGCCGGCGTCACATGCAACAATGGCGGCCAGCCATTTGACGGCGGCAAGACGTGCACATGCAAATGCGCCAAGTGCGTCGGCAACGTCTGTCCTCCTTGCGGCGGCGAGAATGGACGCGACTGCACTGTTGAAACGGGCGGCTGTCCCGCCGTCCTCAAGGCCGACGACGTGGCTTCGGCCGCCGGCTATGTCGACGTGTCTGCCGTGCTTGTGGTCTTTGTCGCCGTGGTGGCGATGGTGGTGTAGATCGTTTTAAACTTAAAATTCCCAATTTAGTCATATTATTTTTCACATTTGCTTAAAGTTCCCAAATTTGTCATGTTGTTTTCACATTTACCTGGGTTTGATGAAGTGGTGAGTTTCGAAAGTGATTGGTCGAAGACGAAACAACGTAGTACTTTTAACCAATCATGTGCTATAATTTTGTTTCTACGACAGATGACTGGACAAAAGCAAGAAACGTTTTAGCCAATGAGTTGCCTTTAAGACCATAGTAAGACCAAAATATCTGAACTCGAGGTAAAATGATTCCAAAAAATGGAACTCTCCCAACTTAGGAAGCGTCAATCGTCCGAGACTTGCATCTGGATAGCACTCTCGAGATGCATGTATGCTTGGCGCTGATGCTCTTGGGTATGACGCAGCTTCTCAATCAGTCGCGCCTCCTCGGCTTCCATGTCCCGCAGCATCTTCTCCGCCACGCTCTACATACATATCTCCCTCGTCAACCCATCATCCCATCCCGTCCCTACCCACCTTCTTCTTGAATTCGTCGGCCAACTTGGTCCGTGCCGCCTTGACTAGGACCCGTTCGTGGCGCTTGCGAGCTTCCTCCCGCAGTTTCGCGGCTTCCTTCTCCTTGTCTTTGATCGCTTGTGTCTTTTGCGCCAGTCGTTTCCGGTCGAGCTCCATCTGCCGCGCCTTTTCTTCGGCCATCAGCTTGGCGTCTAGCTTCGCGTCTTGCACATATTTAGCCCTCGACTTGGCCATCGTCGTGATCGCCAATTCCTTCTTCTTGGACGAATCCACGCTCATTTTCGCTACACACGACGACGACACCAACATGTCAAACATTGATCTACTTCTCTATCGGCATGGCATACAGTTTGTGACGAGCGCGTGACGGACGCTGGCACTGGTGCGCTCCAAGTGCTCGCGCTTGAGGCGCTGGTGCTCGGCGTTGCGTCGCTTGATACTTTCAATGTCTTCGGCTCGCTTGTTGGCTTCGTCAATCTTGCGCTGCGCCTTCTTTTCCTCCGTACTAATTAACATCCACAAGAGTACACTTGCTCAATCACGCAAAACCCTTCAACTACTATACAGTCGTCTTGTAAATCCACACTTCAAAGCAACCAACCACGAACGAAGGCTCAACATCTAAGCAGTGGCTCGCCAACGACCAATACAAAACGAACCGGAGATGGGCTAGCCGATTGGCTAGCAACTGCACGTCCTCTTCGGCCCGCTTGCGCTGCATCTTAGCATCGAGCATTTCGCTTTGAACGGCCATCGCCGCAGATCCACACGCAGGGCCGTTGTCGTCGTCGCCGTGAAAGGGCGACGTGTTGTCTGCGATATGCGCCGCGACCTCTTCTGGGTCGTCCAGCGCATCGCCCCATCGTTCAAACCACTTGAGGAAGGCCAACTACATATCACCATAGCGATACGTTTAGCCAACCCAATGGGCAAATACGAGTTTTTTTGCAAGCAACTACGTGGAGTTTTTTGTACTTTGGAAATGTCGCCTGTGGCGTCGGGGTCGAGCTCGTCGAGAAATTTCTCCAGTTGGTCCCGGGACACAGTGTACCCCATCTTGTGGAACAGCGCGCTCAAGTGCTCGGTGGCAATCGACCCCCGCCCCGTGTCGTAGATTGAAAAAATCGTGTCAAAACTCGCGAGGATCGCACCGTCCGACGGGGCACGAAGCAGCGGGGGGGTCATCCCATGGTGATTGTGTTGGTGGATGATGGGGATGTCATGGCCATCGTCACCTTCGGACTCCATCACGACGCCGACAAGGGAAGCGAGTGGGGTAATATTATTGAGGTTAAAATTAGGCACGGACGGTTTTCAATTGATGACATGATCAACAATGACGACGAGAATACACACACGACAGTGTCGTACTGCTACAGTACAGTAGTCGTGACGACTGTGTGTGGGTACCATCCCGCTGGTATGAAGCTGCCCTTGGGGTAGCATATCTAGAGTTTTTCTATTTCGATTCAAAATGTACCCTTTCACAATGTCTCGCAGTTACTAAAGTATTACTAGTTCTAGTATTGGACTGTACCAGAACCAACTGCCAACAGCCATTGAATGGGTGGATGCCAGCCTACGCTGCATATACGTCACCCCAATTTGTTTCCCCATTTGAGGTTGCACGCCTGTGTGAGTCTTTGTGGCCGCCCCGGGGCCTTTGAAGGCTGCGCTTGGCTAAACAATGATTCTTACGACACACTATACTAGCGCTGGCACAAGGATCATTCATATTGATAACACGACCCAAGCGGTGTTGTATACTTGCTCCAAGTCAACTTGTCATTGAAACAAACGCACCTGACATGGTCAAATCACACTCGAATTATGGTGGGGGGGTGGGGGCCCTCTTGCGAGTTTGGGCATGGGGCTTCCCCACTAGACAGAGTCGAGTTGCGTTGACTGATCTACTAGTATGGTCTCGAGACGTCGCCCCATAAATTGACAATTCCCCTTTGCATTGCATCATCCGACGGCGGCCCCAAATGATGTCGACTTTACTAGCAGCTAACGTTAGCGAATGTCGAGAAATTTCATGCAGTTGTGCAACCAGAACGTGGAATATATATTCGACCCACACGAGACGATGTACTGTACACCAATGTTGCCTTTGGTTGCGCACTGCTTGCATTTGCAATATTTCCTAGCCCAAACCCCGTCGATGTCGTTAGTTCATCCCGATGTCAACTACCACCACCCCAGTCACCCCCCAAAAAGGTTTATTTACTGTTAGCCCAATTTTTCAAAGCTGATTTGGGGCATGTTGGCGCTTCACAGTTAGCTTGTGGTCGTGCACTTGACGTAAAAGTCCAATTTACAATTAAGAACACTTTTTCCGAGACACTGCCGTGGAAGGCATGTAACTCGAATCGTAGGTACTAGTATCAAATATAATTCTACAATATGTTATATGAAGCCAAAATCCAGGCCTAAGTTATTCGGGACGATTCCTGTTATAAATCATTTTCATTCATACCAAACCGGTTGAAATTAAGGTGCACCATTTATTAATACTTGTAACGTTATTAATAATGCTTAGGGCCTGTCTGGTAACCGGAAATATAGGCTCAAAACACCATTTTGGGGCCGAATTCAACACATCAGATCAAAATTGAAACATGTCTTGCTTGAAGAGTTTTAACCCGATTTACTCCTTGAGGAGGTTCAAACGCCATATGACAAAATGGACCTTTTACCTCCATTTTGAAAATGGCATTTTTCGATTATCCCATTTAGCCAGAAAATGCAATATTATTTTTGAAATGTTACCATACAGCACCCTTAGTCTTTGTGTTCCCATTTGCCCTTTTGGGCGGTTAGGTTAAAAACTATCTTTCTAGGAATTGATTGGCTAATTTGGGTGGTGCACATTAAAATGGATCGAGCACCTTAAATTTACGTAATGGTGGGCGGCGGAGACATCAACGGGTCGTTAGAGCAAGTGTTCGGAACACCACTTTTATAGCCCAAATTTCCTGTACTATTAATACGAATATGTATAGTACTACCGTATTTGTCGTACCTTTGCACGATGGAATTAAATTGGAAGAATTTATTTAAATATTTGAAATGTATAATTGATTCAAAATTGTACTAGTATTGAATTATAGAATTATATTCGCGTGTTGTATTTCATGGTGCAGATCAACGACAAATACGGTAGTGGAATAGATAAACCTCTATAAACTTTCCGAATCTTGAGAACTGGTCGAAGTACTTCTCAGATTTCCAGTAAGTTACGGTGCTGCGGACTTTTGTACTAACCCTACACCTTTTTTCGGTTAATTTCAGGACCTCACCATATATACTTTTTCGCGAAATGAACAAGCAATTCGTGGCGGTTCCACTTCGTTGTATATTCGTTATATTTCGCCTGCAACCAAGTAGGTTGCAGGATATTTCAAGTGACGTTCCTTATATTTCACTGTGTATGCGCTCAATTCAGCGAGTGCTCAATATATTTCGAGGTGCAATCGATATATTTCAATAAAAAATAGAAAGGAATCACTTCAACCCAAGATCTCGCGGGCTTTCGCTCATTCTTCAAAACGACGGTCGATGGAACAAGCGCTTGCCACACCAGTACGTTCCAATACATACCCTATGTACCTAGTTGACGTGATCATAGCCACGCCGTCGACCCCATCGAGAATCTTTGGTCCGCAATGAAGAGCCACAGCAAGACGTTGCTGCGCGAGCGCCTTGCTGCGTTTATCGGACCTCGTCCTGACGGATAAACTCGTTTCGTATGGCTTACCTTGAGCACATCGCCGACGAAGTCATTGCAGGTATGGATCGTCGATGAAAGTGTAACTTATATATTTACAGATGTAGACGTGAATCGCCTGCACCGTTGCTCGTTGCGGCTCGAATACTTCCAAGGCCGCGGAGAACATGGAAGACATGGAAGTTGCCGCCTGATCGACCAACAATTGCATTTTACGTCGAAAGTCAGATTGATTTACATTTTTTATTGAAATATATCGATTGCACCCCGAAATATATTGAGCTACTCGCTGAATTGAGCCCATACACAGTGAAATATAAGGAACGTCACTTGAAATATCCTGCAACCTACTTGGTTGCAGGCGAAATATAACGAATATACAACGAACGAAGTGGAACCGCCGCGAATTGCTTGATCATTTCGCGAAAAAGTATGGTGAGGTCGTGAAATTAACCGAAAAAAGGTGTAGTTGTATTCGATTCGTACTCTAAAAATACATTGCTGCACCTGCCCAAATACGAATTGCTAATTGTTGTTTCTGTCGTAATTGATGTCTTTTGATATGTTAATAACACACTTGTATACTAACTAGGCCGTTGGGCTTGTCCACGCTGTATATTTTCACACAAAATTACACTCCCGTCCTCCAGATCGCGTCCGACACTTTGCACACGTCCACACACACTGCCACGTCATGGACACGCACGACGTCCGCTCCGCCGGCGACCGCCGCCGCGCACGTCCCGGCGGTGGCGTTCCCTCTGTCCGCCGGATTCGGCTTGCCACACAACGTGCCTAGAAATGCCTTGCGCGACGCTCCAATCTAGACACACGCAACGTTGTTGAGAAAATATACATGGAAAAAAATATATTATTAAACCAAAAAACCCTTCCAAACACGTGGGGCAGGGTGAAGAAAATAATATATTTTTTTCGACGTTCTGAAAAAAAAAAATTATGTTTGATTTGAAACCCCCAACGACATACGATACCAAATCGACCGGCAGGCAATCGATCGACCAATAAAAACCCACAAGACGACTCAAGTGGCCAATCAAACTCGTACACCATCAACAACACTACGTAAGTGACACTTGAAATATACTTGAAATCGGTGCGAATGATAAAGTTGACGACATATCCAACATTCAGGGATCGACACAAGTATTGTGGATTCGGTACAAATTTCCAGACCCCGTCGAATACATCTCGCCGCCGAATCAAACAAATCACGAATCGACGCTATTGGCTAATTACCACATTTGAGTGGATTTGATTGGCTCTTACAGAAAGGACAAGTATATTCAACCAATCACAACTCCGGCGTGATTCAATAACAAACAACGCGAATTTTGGAAGTGTATAGCGAATTCACAATGCAAAATCCCCAAGTTTGAAGGCTGCAAGCAGCACCAGAATAGCGTCGACGCACCAACAACGGACACGGCGCCCACGCCGCCTTGAGTTTGCTCACGTGACGGAGCAGCGTCACGTTTTCAGCCAGCCCCTTGGCGAATCCGATGCCCGGGTCGGCTACCACGTGCCACGTGGGGATGCCCGCCGCCATGGCCGCGTCCAGCGATGACGTTAGCTCGGCGATCACGTCAGCGACCACGTCGTTGTACGTCTACAACACGATCACGTGACAAAAGCTTGCAAACAACAACTTACACCTTTTGAAACGTCATCGTAGCCGGCGTGCCACGCATGTGCATGAGAACAATCTACCGTCGTCGTCGTCGCCATATATTCAACACCACCACCCCATGATATATTTATTGTGCTCATTTGCCACGTTTGGGGTGGAAATCGCCAAGAAATCGAGGCAGGCCGATTATGATTGGTTCAAACGAATCAAGGTTGTAAAATGATTGGCTAAAACGAATGAAGGATGTTCACAATGATACCTCTTAAAATTAGTCATATATATAATATCTCGCAAGTCCAGCGATTTGTTCAACCAACCGAACAACGAGACCAGAACCACCATCAACATCGAATCAATGATATACCTAAATTAGTGTGATACCAATCACCACAGGACAATACCTTTTTATGTAGTACAACATGTAGCACACAAAGAATCGATCGATAGATTTGGCAAAGAATCCGCACAAAAGTCAACTTTTGGGTAAATGGACAAGATCATACCGGAACTTGAGCCGCGGCGACGGTCGCCAGCATGTTCGAGTCTGCCGTCGCACCAGACACGTCGTTGACCATGTTGGCTCCTGCCTACGTCACCGCCAATATCATAAAAAACACAATAAAAAACATCAAAAATCAATCAAAACGCATCAAAAATGATTAAAATCATCAAAACGCATCAAACACATATCTTGCAACCCACGACAGCTAGCCATCGTTTGGCTGTGTAGTAGTACTAGTAGTACCTCAATGGCCGCGGCGGCGACTCGGGCTTTGGTGGTGTCAATTGACAGCGGCAGCAGCGGAAACGCGTGGCGAATCGCGCGGAGCACTGGCACCACCTACGTCCAAACCACACTCAAAACGACCACGAACGAATAAATGACACATCATCTAAAATAGGAATAAATGAAACTTCATCTACTTCAGATCCAACCGTTCGTACCCGGGCGATTTCGTCGTCGATAGACACAACCGGCGCATGTGGTTTCGTGGACTCGCCGCCAATGTCGAGCATGTCCGCGCCTTGGTCCACCATGGCGGTCGCGGCCGCCAGCGCCGCCGTCACGTCCACACCGACGCCGTCGCCGCTAAAGCTGTCGGGGGTGGCATTCACAATACCCATTACGTACGTCTACACAAAACGCAACAGGAATTAGCCCAAGTTTGTCTAAGCCAGAGAGCTTGAATAGCTACGTGAATAACCTATAGATGGCCCTGACCTTGGTATGCAGCGGCCACAAGAGATCGTGTGGACCAAGACTCAGCACAGGAATCGGCGGGTTGGTCGGCACTGGCAACGCTGCATGCAATGTGCGGATGGTTTGCTGAAGAATCGGGTGAACAAAGTCTACAAGACATTAGTGATATATAGCGAGGAAACGTATATGGCATTAATATTACCAGCCGCAAGGTCGAGCAGAGGGCGCAGGACAAAATCGCGTTCGTGGAGAAGGGCGTGTGGGATGATGAGCGGACCCACCGCGGTGGTCGCGTGCACGACGTGAGTGCCGTAAAAGAGGATGTCGACGTCGAGGACTCGGGGACCGTAGCGCAGTGTGCCCAGGACTCGACCGACGCGGACTTCAATGTCTTTGAAGCACTATGGTGGATTGTTGGATGAAGGATAGGTCGCGATGGGTCGTGTGTCTACTTGAAGAACAAGGACGTACGAGAAGCAGGTCCACGGCGCTAAGGGAGGTTGAGAGTTCGAGGACAGCGTTGAGGAACTGAGGCTGGTCCGTTACGTATTGAGGCGATGTCGTGTACAGTAGCGACGTCCGAACGACGCGGCCAGCATGTGCGTTGAGTTCTTGCACTGCTCGATGGAGATTGCTCGCTCGGTTGCCTGAAAGGTTGCAACGCGGGTTAGAAGGGGGGCCTAGTTATGGCGTGGCAGCACGACAAGATGTTTGTATTGCTGTGACGTACCCAAGTTGGTGCCAATGGCAACGTAGGCCGTGACGGTGGCGGCGACGGTGGTCGTCGCCATCTCGAATGGTATTTGTTTGGTTTGGACCTGTGCATGGGCATCCGAATCAACCAATCAGATTGATCCATGAATCTCCAAGGTCCAATCAAATGGCTCCGAGGCACAACACGCACATGCACAAGACCAAATGGCAAACGAGGTGAAATCGTGGACGAGGTCCATGGAGGCTATAACGTTAGTGTTAGTTAGCCATCGTCACTGCACATTGAAATTGTGGTTAAGACAGTTCAACATACAGCTGGGATACGGTGATTGTTTTTACGTTTCACCATTTTGACGTGACGACGACGAGGGCAACAAATTGGACCCTTTGTAACGTTAACGTCAAGTTCCAATAATAAAGGCGTCTGTTCCAATTATTGACGTATAAATCTAAGCCAATCACTGATCCCTAAATGTTAAAAGCGCCAATCACAGAACAAACCTCTAAATATGTATACTCGTAGCCATACAACACTGAAGGTTAAAATATTACACCAACAATTGGCACACCACTTTATAGAGGTGGATGGCTGCGGGAAATCGCAAAAACCGGTTTCGCGTGGGCAAAACCCACAATATACCTAACCGTATTTTCTGTACAGGTTGACTTTCAAGGGAAAATAGAATACTTTTGGCAGTTCACAAAATGTAAGGGTTCGTCTGGCAAACGATTGAATCAAAACGTCATTTTGAGAAACCCAAAATTTGATGGCACACAGAAATGTCAGAATTGGAAAAACTCATTTCGGGAACATGTTTTACCAGACATGATGCGAGTTAAACTCCAGAATATGATGGCTTTTCTCTCTTGCAGTCTCGCACCTCTAAGATTGCATGCATTGACAGAACATCGCATTCACGTGTCCGACCATTGATGGGCCGAACGACCATTGATGGGCCGACTTATTTCATCCAATTAAAATGCCAATCAACTCTGATTGGACAAAAGGCAACCTCTCGACAAATTTAACCTGCATGAATAAATGGAGGGGAAAATACTACATATTAAAGGTTCTTCAATTTATGAACCGACGAAATGCCGCCAAGAACGCAGGTCACCATGGACAAGGCCGTCCACGAAGTGTTAAGCAAGTACACACGGCATCAACTGCTGTGGAGGCCTATGGCGTTCCATCGCGGACGCTTCGGAAGCATTCGGCAAAAGCTGACCCCGGCGTCATCGAAATACAAACATCTTTCAAGGAAGACGTGACGGTTAGTGGTAAGTACAGTTAATATATTAAGTGTTATTATTGTTTATGCTAAATGTTGTTATTGTTCGAAGTTAAAAGACACAAGACAAAGATATTTTTTTTGGTTAACGTTATACTAACTGTTATGATTTATGCTATATTCAGATTCCTTGGGCACCGTGACCATCTCGAAGAATAATCTTCACTGGTTAACCTTTGCCCTGACCCAACCTACTCCCGTACCTGGTATCGTACAACGGGGTTTTGCGCATGCTCACCAACGTTTGTACAAACGAGCTATATTGCACAAACGAGTTACAATATGAGGTGTATATTATTCCACGTGTGCCAATAACATTGAAAATTTTATTTTCCAACTGAGACTCCAATACGTGATACCTGTTCAGATTTGATAAACCTCTATAAATTGATATTTCTCGCTGGATGATAAGAAACTGACACCTGGATTCGTCATACTTAGTTCAAGTATAAAAGTTGGCCCATCAATGGTCGACTGTGTAAAGTGCTCGACTTCAAAAAAATCCTGTGCATTCCTAAACTGTTTAAATCGATATCCTTCGAGTTATTCATAAAGTACTCATCATTACCTATCCGAAAATGTATCATTCCCATTCGGAAAACAAAAAACAACCGAAATAATTGAGATTAAAAATGAAGAAAAGTTGGCCCATCAATGGTCGGACACGTTCTTCGAATCATGTCGGCACTGGAAAGCACGCGGGCCTCATGGAGCGGGGAGTGAGACAAGTTTCTCGTCACATCACTACAAGCTCAAGTCCATAAGGGCAAGCGATCAGACTCCGGCTTCAAGAAGGAAGCATGGGTGGAGGTGACGAACGCTTTCAACGCTCGATTCGGCACGACGTATCACACATCAAAAATCAAGTCGCGAATCGACTGCGTACGTTTGACTTCACTTGTACTTAACTAACAAACTTGTAGCTCAAGCGCGACCACAAGGATGTGAAGTACTTGCGCGACAACTCTGGATTTGGATGGAACAGTGACCTTGGAGTACCAACAGCACCGGACGATGTTTGGGTTCCAGTTGTGAAGGTATGCGACATCAAACAACAAAGTCATGTAACAGAGACGTTCAGGCGAACCCAAACTACAAGAAGTTCCGCACAACCCCTTTTCCACTGTTCGATTGCCTAGCGAATCTCTTTGACGGTTCTTATGCTGACGGTTGTTATTCGTCGCTTCCACCGGGCGTTTTGTCTGCGACAGATCAAGCGAGCGTTGAATCCTTCGAGTTGGAAGTGATGGACATGTCACCACTACCGCCCCCTATTCCTGCTCGACGTCAAGCGCAGGCAGCCATTCCGGATGAATTGGACAGCTCGGAAGAAAGCTCCGATGCTGCGTCGCCACCGCCGAAGAAGTTGAAGCAGCAGCTCAAGAAACGTGACCGTCGAAGTGCTGGAGCAGTCATCGGGGATGCGATCGCAAAATTGGTCGACGTCGAAGCGTCCAAGGCGTGTCACAATAGCGATCCTCACAAGAGAGTGACGACGGCAATCGAGTGCGTTTTGGATAACTACAGCCATGTTGACGCCGACCACATCGCCAAGTTGGCCGACATGATGGGAACAGGATATAGTGCGACGATCTTTAGTGCTCTTGGAGGGGAAGCGCGAGATGCATGGATTGCGAAAAGTATTCACTGGTCTTCATAATCAATTATGCATTACTTTGCCTTAAATGTGCAAACTATATTGTTGCCACATCGCGTCAGCAATACTATCTCGTTGCGCTCCTGCTTCGTCAGTGTGGTGTTCTACAGGTTCGTTTAGTCTGCGGCGGGGACGGTTGGATCGTGCAAGCCTACGACGGCGTATTTGGTCGCGCTTTTTGTTTGCCTTATCGGCCTTGTATAGAAAATGGTGGTCATTTTCGAACTCCGTAAATTGTACAAAGTGCACAGTGCATACACCAGGTTCACTTGACCAGAAAATGGGTAGGCACTCCAAGACCTTGAACCTTTTGCTTCAGCACTCCGAAGATACGTTCGACGCAATTCCTTTGTTGTGCATGTCGGAGATTGTACAGCTCGTTTGCGTTTTGTGGTCTTTGGTTTGACCACTCTCGCAGATGGTATCGGACTCCGCGATATGGTGTGCGCAAGTTCGTTCGCAGACCATACCCAGCATCGGCTACGCATTCAGGATAAGCCGTAGTAAATGTAGACCAAGTACATACCCAAATACATCTTCCCAGTCGGTATAGAAAACCCCTTGGTTGTCAACGCGTCATTGAGTACTCGCGCGTCCGACGCGGACCGCCGGCCAAAACATACACAAATCGTTATTCGAATGTGCATGCCGCAAGAACATTTTGACTCATAACGTTACATCCTTTCCGATTCCGGAAAAGCATTAGTGCGCCATGCGATGTGCACGAATGTGGGTTCCGTCGAGGGCGCCCATGCAGTGCTGGAAGAAAGGGTACATCTTCGGGTTCGTATGAATTTCGTATGGGATGTCGTTGCTCGGAAGCGTTACAACAGCAGGGTAAAGGATCATAAAGGCATTCATAACCTGCTATTTGTCAGTCAAACGTCATTGGCACGGTAATACCTCATTGATCGACTGAGTAATCGTCCATCCGCTTCGTTGAAACCGCTCTTGGGCCTCGCGATTCGACGCAGCATGACCAACAACGTAGAGAAACGTTGCAAGTTTCTCTCTGGCGGACACATAGCGACTGCTTTTGAGAGCGCACTTGGTCTGGAGCATCCCAAGCAAGGCAACGAATGTGCTTGGCAGCAAGTGGAGTTGGTTCCGAAAGCGTCGTGGGTTGCCGTTCATGAGTTCGTTGATCCACTCTTCGCCCTTCAAGACAGATGTATGGACGTCTCCTTGATGACATGGTTGACAGCCCACCAGGCAGCGCAAGCAATGACGGCAGCACAGAACATGAATTGCGCGCGAAAGACGGTATGACCACCATCTCCAAAAAAGAGCCTCTTTTCAAAATTCCATTTATAGATGAATTGACAATTTATTTGTTGAGTCTCATCTATTACCAGACGCTTCGGCGACGAATCGTAAAATGACATTTGGTCTCCAAACGCCATTTTTGGGCTGAAAATAGTGAAATCATGTCCAAAATGGCAAAATTTGGCGGTTACCAGATGAACCCTAAACATGATTACAATTTTTAAACTGACACGATTGATGCACTTTCGAATTTTTAATCTATTTGAACGTATTTTCATTCCACAATCTAGGAGCGTAATCTCAAAGTAATCTCAACCTTGCGCTCTATTATACGAGCCAAAGCAATATGAAATTCAAGGAGGTTTAGGTTGAAGGTTGACGAAACCGACGAAACTTCAATGTTTGAGGTGTGATTTCACATGAACCAACACGACGTTCATGAATCTGATTACATAATCGTTGAAAACTTGGTGAGAGGTCTATGAAACAATTTGGAAGGATTTGGACAAAGTTTAGGAAGGTTTATTTTAGGTCAAAGTATTGAATTTTCAGTTTACAAAATGTGTAAGGTGATTCATGTAATTCCCAGCCAGCTTGGCCTACTTTCTGAGTGCCATAACTCGTCACCCATTCATCCGATGAGGCTGCGAAAGCCTGCATTTTGAAGATCCTGACGAGCTTTATATCTTTATGCAGTTGTTTCGCATGGTCAATTTGCTCGTCGAATTTCTAAAATTGAAATTTCCCTGTGTGAATTTATTTCCCGGCCAGGAAGTCACTTAAATAATGTATGCCTGATTTGGGCAACAAAATCCTCAGAACCTCTTAATAATGATATATATAAAGTGTTCAAGTAATTAAATTTAGAAGTGCAACTAATACAAAAACTGTATTACATGTCCGACCAGCAGAATATTAAATCTTACAAGTATGTGATACAAGAGTACGTAATTTTGCCCAATCGTTGTCCATGGATGATTGTGATTGGCCCTGGACCAATTCACCATCGAATTGGTGTGTGCCCGAAATTAGTGGACACTGGACAATCTTTATGTACAAGAGTCAGTACAAAGAATCGATCGATCTATTTGGCGGATCAGCACAAAAGTCCAATTTTTGGTATAATTAAGGACAATATAACAATCGTGCAATGGCCGCGCGCTCTCTCATAGCTATTTCAAAACTACATACAGGCGGAAGCTGTTTTCGCGATTTCCCGCAGCCTCCTGAAAATTGTCTACAATTTAGGACACTTGAGGATTCATAAACGATGCCTCGATCAGGAATTATGGTCATTCTCCGAAAAACAAAAAAAGTTGTATTGCAACAATTGGAATTATACGTCAAGTACTTAAGTGATATCTTATTGATGCTGTCATAGCCAAATCCTAGCACTTGGGATTGGATGCACGGTCAATGGCTCGACCGAATGGAATGAGTTTGCGGACAGAAAGGTGTCGGGTGACGACGAGATATTCGCTACGTGCCAGCGGCTTGTCCGCTGGTCGCCAGAATCAAATCGACTGCAACCAGGGGCACTGCTCAAGTTTGTTATAGTTGATCATCCCCCCTCGAATGGAGGGGTTACAGAGTTGTTAACTACCGCGGCATAATAAAAACTGTAATCTGTTTCAAATGACATTATAATTCTCAATAATAATGTTATTTCACTGTCAAACTCAAATGTACTGTATTCGGAAGTACTAGTAACCATATGCTAACAACCAATGAGGCTTGTGTGACGAAGCTATATTGCTCCACCCAAATCATGCCTCTCGCATTGCATCGAATCTCCCTCCTATGGTGCCTCACTTCGACGTCGAAAATGCGATGACCAAATTTGAGCCAATCAGCGAGCGTCATGAGTGATAGTCATTATTGCGTCCCATGGCCACCAAATGCGCAAGAAGACACTGAAAGCCTTGAAAAAATGCTACTATTACAAATACGTAGTACCTTGAGAGGTTCACCTACAACACGTTGATTGCGTGAATATATCGATTCAGTAGCACGAACTTAAGAACTTTCGAATTAGCTACTATCTGAAGCTCGTAATAAATAAAATATTTTTGTTTGCGCCACTGGAGGAATAAGTTACTCCGAATAATACTTCGAAGTATCTTACTTGTGCTCCAGAAAAGATACCGGTAAGTAATCTATCCATAGACCTCCTGACGAAAGATTAAATCCTCTGGAAATGAATATCTATCGCAGGAATTTGCACATGGATATTGGAGCATTAATAATCATTTGGCATGGATCGATTATACATGCAGAGTACAAACAATTTGGCAGAGCGTAAATCAACGACGAGTAATTGGATGAACTAATTTGGTGGTGATCATTTAGCAACTACTCTATACTAATGGAAATCACTCGATCCTTTCCGAATTCAACCTGTCCATTTCGAATATCAGCAGTAGCGGCTCAATGACCCGCCGGGGTAGTCAGCAACCTCGGCGAAGCAGCCTCCAGGGAACCCAACCTGACCCTCCAGCCACACGCACTGCAAGACCCGCAAACACTCCCAGCCAAGCACCACTAAACTCTCGAAGCATGAGCCAAGGAATCGCTCTCTTGGCCTGCCTAGAAGAACAGCGTAAAGCAAAACGAGCTCGGTTCCCTACCTCACGCGTTGAGGGCCCAGACATTGACGAGGATTCCAACTCACCTATCTACGATGCGTACCTACAAATACAAAGAGCCGAAGGCATAATGACACTCACCAACTTCTCGCCGTCAGAGTTTAACCTTCTCTGGGCAGACGTCCGCCAGCACATCTTCAGGCACTGGAATGTGGGCTCCGGTCGCAAGTGTGCAGTGTCCGCTCGAGACCTATTGCTCATGATGCTTGCATCACTCAAACACTGCGGTACCTGGGATATCGTTGCTCAAACATTTCGCACAACTGTGGCAACATTCGAAAAGCGCGTCATGAGCTTCATAGAGGTCATGCATCCCTACCTTCTGCGCACGTATGTTCATGGAACGGCATCCAAGTGGTCGATGCATGAGCTTGCCGCCAACGGAACAAGGTTCGAGCACTACCAATATGCACGCTACGCCACCGATGTTACTTTCCAGCAGACAAACGTACCTGTCGGTTCGTACGCCGAAAAGAAGCTGTACTACAGCGGCAAGCATCATCTCTACGGGCACAAAGTTGAGGTGTCAGTCCTTCCAAATGGCTTGGC